ATTGGTGTTGGCATTGGTGTTGGCCTTGGTGTTGGCCTTGGTGTTGGCATTGTTGTTGGCATTGTTGTTGTCGTTGTCGTTGTTGGCATTGTTGTTGACATTGTTGTTGGTGTTGTTGTTGGCATTGTTGTTGGCGTTGTTGTTGCAACAACAAGAACAAGAACAAGAACAACAAGAACAACAACACAGCCACCTCCAAGGCTGCTAGTAAGCCCAGGAATGAGCTGCTAACACAGGATTCTGATACACAGTTCTTTGTGGCCATTGTTCAGGTGAAGCATATTGGAAGGGGGACAACCATCAGGGGGCCCAAGTACCAATCCACTTCTTCTGGGTGTGCTGTGGATGGTGCAAAGGCCAAAAAAGTGCATTAAAGGAAGATCCCTTGGTTCTGTTGGATTCATCAGATTCATTGGATTCACTAACCACAATGCATGAGTCGGATGGTCCTTGCACGAAATACGTGTACTCTTAGTATGTTTAGTGTGTATGAAAATTGAAATTATAAGATTAAGATTATTGAGTTTCAACGTGAGCTTTCAGAAGCTCCGATTAGATCCTGTGTAGCTCTTGGTGCTGAATCTACACAGGGTTCTTATTATTCTTTGTTCTTTGCGAGGTAATCTATTTCTGATATCTTGGACCTCTTATGATCCTCAATAAGATGGATCCTACGATACATACATAGGAAGGGTACCATACGACACATACCTATGAACGGTATGTTCCTTCATTCCTTTCTTCGAAGCTTTCTTTGAAGCTTCGTATCGTACTACGTATACTTCCGATACAGTACATACACATCGGTTGCAGTCCTGATGTGGAGGATCCTACTGCAGATGATGCAGAGGACCTCACGGCTCCCTCTGCTACTCTGTGTACATCAACCAGCACTGCAACAACCAAAGCAGATGCTGCAGCAATTAACACAACCAAAGAGGCGACTTTGGAAGCTTCTTTGTGTGAGGCATCTAATACTACTTCAAAGACTTTCCCAGTGCCTCATTTGGAGGATCATTCCAAAGCTTGACTGGCACCCTCTAGCTTCTGCAGAGGCTTCTTTGAATGCAAACTTTGCTTCAGTGGAGGCTTCTTTGCGTGAGGCAAACACTGCTTTGATGCCTCGACCGGCGCCTCATTCAGAGGCTCAATCTGCACCTCCGAGGCTACTATTGGCTTCTTTACTAGCGGAGGCACATAGTACTGCTTCCATGGAGGCTTCTTTGAATGCAGCAAATAATGCTGGTGCTTCAATGCCTTGCCCAGTGCCTCATTCTGCAGAGGCTTCTTTGCGCGAGGCAACCAATGATGCTTCACCTCGCCCGGCGCCAAATTTGGAGGCTAGATCTGCACCTCCATGATGGCGATTTGATTGAAGGGCTTGGGCACGGAGACCAAGAAGAGTTTTTCACAGAAGCTACAGAATTTTTCGACGCATTGTACGCCCCTGACTGTGTGAACGTACCAAGTACCGTACTGTGCGGTCCGATATTAACTTAACTGATTTATTCTGCTCCATTCACTTTGTGTTCTGCGCGTGCGCGCTTCTCGTTTTTTCGTTCATCCGCTGCGGGACTCGCTACACCGATACCGAATGATACTTCGTAGAAGTATTATTTAACTTTCACTTTACGGTGGTCAAGTTTTCATTTTTTCGCGTGAGAAAACATGTTGTTAATTGTAGATACGTTTTCTACGCTCAGAAGTACGTACGTACTCGTACTGTTCTTTGTTCGAAGAGATTGAAAAAATCAACGGGAGGTACGGTACGATACCGTACGGCACGAAGTACATTTCGAACAAAGACTCAATGGTACACATACACAAGGCATCCTGCAACATGACACAATTAACCGTACAAGAAAGTTATCAGTACTACTGTATTTAATCTTTTTTGTTTGTAGTGCATGTCAGGGGTCGTAATTTAGACCCCTGGTGCATGTCGGGGTACTGCACATAACCTATTAGGGTGACATTACGGTACTTGAGCAGAATAATGTTATCGACAGTAGAAGAAAATAACATTTAGGTCTTCCGGCCTAGCTATTCTTTTGGTAACTCTAATAGCGCGAAAATTTCCTTCTTAACCTCATTTTCCCCTTTCTGATAGCGGGAAAAAGGTTCCGATTTTCATACTTCAATATGACAATATACTTAAAAAATAAGAAAATTAATCTTCTGTTTAAATTGCTGTTCTGTGTGACGGAAGCTATAAGGATAGAATAATTGTCACTTTTTAAATGAAAACTTCGTTGCTGTACGTTTGATCCCCACGGTACTGGCCTTCTGGACTCAAGATTGTTTTGACAGAGAGTAACGGTACGTGGAAGACCTGTGAAGTATTTGCCCTGAGGAATTTCCCTGATTTTCGATGAACGTTCTGGTAAACAAACACATAATTCCTACCACAAATCATTACAGTAGAAAGTTACAACAAGACGAATAAACGAAACGAAAGTGATCAATAACAATACATACTAGACAGTTGTATACCGCATCCAAACACGACAGCAGTCAAGTCAAGCGGATTCAAGTCTCCAGTCGACTCGATTAGAATAAGTGGCAGGTCAGTTGCAACGATGGCCTCCCCGTTTTTCCGTCACACGAAGGCGTTGTTTGGAGTAATATTTTTGACCGCCTTCATGGCCCTTTATAGCAACTGCAAGGTTGTCCCACTTTCCCTTCTCCGAAGGAATCACACCAGTTCAATAGAATACGGCAGCACGACCGACCAATCAAAACCCCGTGATCATGCTAAAGATACCAGCGGCAGCGTCTTCTCAACATTATTTTCGCAGTCGTCCACCAGTGCGAAGGATGAAAAGAAGAATAACGCCAACGCGGCACCAACGTACAGGAGATGTTATCCAAAGAATGCTAGCAAAGAATGTAATGCAGGAGAGCGCTGTACGAAGTCATCAAACCAGAAAATCACAAACAAGTTGCCACTAAGCTTGCAAACCAATAACCAGAGATCTGATCATGATGTTTCTCTTATCAATGATGAAAATGAACAACCCGATGGCAGGAATGATGATGATGATGATGATGATGAAAGAGAATATAATCAAAGCAAGGAAGAAGATGATGATAACGGCAACGACGATGACCATGACGACGTCAACGATGACGATGATGATGGTATCAACATCAACAGCGGAAACAACAATAATGACAAAGGTGAAACTTGGTATTGCATGCCGATATCGTTGACTGGGACCGACCCCTTTGCAGAGGTTAGTCACAGACTTTTTTTTTCGTTTTGTGTTCACGAACTAGTATGAATGATGCGTATCAATACTGTGCGATTGGATCGAAGCAAACCAGCTAGTTCTGGGTTTTTCACAGTTCGGATTGCTGTCACTCACTATTCACTCGTGAATTACTACGTGGTACTGCCTCACAAATATTGATCGCTCATCGTACCTTACGTACTTACGTACCTTTACTTCCCACGGTGGTTTCGTTTTTCGTTTTCCCTTCGTGTTTTCGGCTGTCGCTAATAACCAACCAACCCTTTTTTTCTGTTGTACTGTTGTATTGTACTGTTGTACTGTACGTACGGTATGGTACGTACCGTACGGTATTTTTGCAGTTTTTCACGTCAACGTCGAGGAGTTTTCTACGAAAGATTAAGCCGAAACCTCCAGGCAACAAACACACCCCCAAACATTCGAACAGAAAAGATGGTACACAACGAAGGAAAAAGCAAGGCGAAAGTGGTGAATCGACGAGACGAGGAAGAATCAGACGGGCCTTGTTCGACGAAGCAGTTCTATCGGGGGAATCTTCCCATCGCGACGAATCTGGAAAGAAACGAAAATCAGAAGATGCGAAAGGAAAAGATTCAAAGAATATACCGGAAGCGAAGAGAAGCACTGAAAGCAAATCAAAGTCATCGCCGTTGCATTCCAAAGAAAACTTAGAAAAGAAATCCAAAGACCACGGTTCGAAAGGCAAGTCGGAAAAGCAATACGAACACGACAGTTCAAAAGCCAAAGGGAAGGAACCTCATGGTTGTTCACATGGCAAAGGAAAGGCAAAGGGCAAAGGAGGCTATTCAAAAGGGGGGAAAAGCAAAAGCAAGGAAGGAGATACTTCCAAAGAAAGAAAAAGCAACAGCAAGGAAGGAGGTGGTTCCAAAGGGATCAAATGGGCCAAGGATGGAGGTAGTTCCAAAGAAGGCAAATGGGGCAAGGATGGAGGTAGTTCAAAAGGAGACAAAAGCAAAGGTAAAACTTCGAAAGCCTTCGTACCCGAATCAATAACCACGGAAGTTGGTTCAAGATTGCTAAAGAAGAAAAGTAAGGGAGACGGTGTTTCGAAAGGCAAAGGCAAAGACAGAAGAGACGATGATTTGGAGGGGAAGGGCAAGAACAAGGGAACCGTCGGCTTCCAAGGCAACGAGACAGGAAACAGCAACGATGATGCGAATGACGAAGAAGACCTTTGCTTAGAACCAGACTCTGATGATAACTATCCAGAGAGCAAGGGAAAGAACAACAGCAAAGGCGGTAGCAAAGGCGGTAGCAAAGGCGGTAGCAAAGGCGGTAGCAAAAACGATAAATCGGAGAAGAACAAAAGCAAACACTATGATTCTCCAAGTATTAGCCCTGTGAATGTTCCAATTTCGAAAGGCAAAGGTGACAGCAAGGGCGACAAATCGAAAAAGAGCAAAAGCAAGCACGATGATTCTCCAAGTTTAAGCCCTGTGAATGTTCCAATGTCGAAAGGCAAAGGCAAAGGCAAAGGTGANNNNAAATCGAAAAAGAGCAAAAGCAAGCACGATGATTCTCCAAGTTTAAGCCCTGTGAATGTTCCAATGTCGAAAGGCAAAGGCAAAGGCAAAGGTGACAGCAAGGGTGATAAATCGAAAAAGAGCAAAAGCAAGCACGATGACTCTCCGTCCAATAGCCCTATAAGTCAAGGCCCAACGACTCTTTCTCCGACGTCCTATCCTTCGAAAGGAAAAGACGGCAGCAAGGAGGATAAATCAAAAGGTAAGATTAGCAAAAAGAGTAAAAGCAAGCATGTCGATTCACCGACCGGTAGTCCTTCGATTATTTTCAGCCCAGGCCCAACGACCGCGAGGCCAAGCAAATCAAAAGGGAAAGATGGAAAAATGAGCAAAAAGAGCAAAAGCGATATTAGTCTGCCTACCAATAGGCCTTCGACCCTTGCGACTATAGGCCCGACGACCTGGAGTCCAAACCAAGATACGACAATGTCACCAAGTGAAAATTCAACAATTAGTAGTTTCCCAACTGTCCCTCCGGGGGATGAAAGATCTCCGAAACCGACACCTTCTCCTCCACAACAACCGGTAATTATAACTATGAACCCATCAAGTAAAACATTGCCAACAACTAAAAGAGAGGAGCTAGAAAGTATGATACCAACTATATTGTCGACTGACAAAGATACAAGTGCACCAACTGAACAGGAACGAAACATAAAACCTACAACGGATCCGAGATCAACAGCAAGCCCAAGCAGCCTACCGTCATTCTCGCAGCAAAAAGTAAGCTCCATACCTTCGCAAATAGAAACAACCGTTCCTTCTTTGACATCATCACCAACATCAAAGTATATGGAACCAAGCTCAGTCCCTTCAGGGTCTCCTAGTGGTGTCCCATCTGAAGTGCCTTCTGAAGTGCCTTCAGCAGTACCAAGCGAAGTGCCTTCTTCTGAACCTCGCTCATTGCCCAGCTCATCGCCCGGCTCAATGCCCAGCTCATTGCCC